AATACTATTACTTGGGACCTTGACTGTTGGAAAAAAAAAAAAGGGGCAACAGGAGTCTCATGAATTTCAACAAAGGGAAAAGCAGTGTCCTGCAGCTTGGGATTAAAAACCCCATGCACCAGTAGAAGCTGAGGATCAACCAGCTGGAAAGCAGCCTTGCAGAAAAGGCCTGGAGTCCTGGTAGACGAGTTGAACATGGGTCAGCAATGTCCCCTCACCACAAAGGTGGCTAACAGTGTCCTGGGCTGTGTCAGGAACAGTGATTAAGGGTTGAGGGAGGTGATCCTTCCTCTCTACTCAGTGCTGGGTAAGGTCGCACCTTGAGTGCTGGGTCCTGGTCCACACTCCCCAGTACAAGGCAGACATGGACATACTGAAGCAAGTCCAGCAAAGGGCCATAAAGGTGTCAAAGGGTTTGGAGGATCTCTCGTATGAGGAAAGGCTGAGAAAGCTGGGACTGGTCTGCCTAGAGAAGAGAAGGCTCATGGGAGGATCTCATCAATGTGTATAAGTAACCTGATGAGAGGGAGTAGAGAAGATAGAGGTGGATTCTTCTCAGTGGTATCCAGTAAAAGTGTAAGAGGCAATGGGCACAAACTAAGTGCAAGAAATATTTAAACCAAACAAAAAGGTTGTTCACAATAATGGTAACTGAACACTGGAACAAGCTGACCAGAGAGGCCGTAGAGTCTCCATCCTTGGCAATACTCAAAAACCCGACTGCATATCATTCTGAACATCCTGCTTTAACTGACCCTGCTCTGAAAGTGAGAGTTAGTCTAGACAGTGTGGACAACCTCAACTATTCTGTGATTCTGTAAAAAACTACGTCAATCTTCACAGAAGCTATCTTTTTACCTTAACTGACTGCAGCGAAGATCTGAAGTACAGAAGGAACTGTGGGATCTGTGTTGAAGCACCACCAAACAGCTTTAACTTAGCAAACACACTGCATTCAGGTAACATGAAACCTTTCCTTTGTAGCAAAATGTTAATTAGAAAAGCTCAATTATGGTCTTTCTAAACACCCCTGTACAGACATTTTTAATGATTTCTTAAGCTAAAATAAATAACCTCAAAATCCACCAACATTACCTTGCTTCCAGCATTTAAATAAGAATGAATTATCTATGTTTAAAACATAAATAACGAACCTGGATTGCTAGCAGCTAACTGAATATCCACCCACCTCTATTCACTGGAAACCTGATCTTTAAAAAGGTGTGTGGGGGAAGTCATTCCAGTTGAATGCCTTACCACCATAAAAGCAAATTAAACTCGAGGCAATCATTTGCTCTCCAGTTACTGATATCCTCTATAACAGAACCCCCTGCCTTTCCTAACACATAGATTATACTAAAAATCAGTGCACTGAAGAACAGCAGGGGAAAGGAACTTGAAAAATGCATTATGATTCTGGTCATCATCGTAAGTGAAGGACTTCCAGGTGTATTTCATACAAGACTGAAAAATGCAAACAATATCAGAGGTATTCTTCAGAGAAAAACATATTGTTTGCATTTTTCAGAGGTATTCTTCAGAGAAAAACAAAGTTGATTAAAAAAAAAAGTTGATTTACTACATAAAACACCGTATATTACTGTTGCAAATGTAATGTCTTACTGGAGGTAGTTAGAATTGCTTTTGCATACCATAAAGCACAAGTTGATGACAAGGAAACGGACTGTACAGAACTGTATGTTGAGCCTGACAAAATCTTCAGCCTGGATGACATCAGCCTATTGATCTCCAGCTCTAGCTTCCCTCAGCAAGAAAACTTTTTCCCCTCCCTTTTAAGTCAAAACCACCCTTTAATGACAATTTGTGACATGTACATGTCAAATATGCTTAGGCTAACTCCTCAGCTGCCCATGGCCAACCAATTAAAATGTAAATGCTTAAAAATAGTCAGAACCTCAAGTTTATATTTAGTCATGCCAGGTGGCATCCATCCTATAAGTTCGGTCATGAGTCTTAACTAGGTGTTCAAACACCACAGAACTGTTTCTGAGAGAAGTCCACCCCTGTGCCTCTAGGTCCACTTTCACTCTAAGAATGAATCCCTAATTGGAGAAGTTAAAAAGATTATTAACAATAAGAGGACAAAATTTGGTGCTTAACTGTTCTCTGTGCCTTTGAAAAGTTCCCCATTAAAGTGGCTTTAATTTCTAGAAAAGCACTGCAGCTACAAAACCCAGTAACACTGAGTGAAAGCAAACTCTGCCTCCTTAAAAATGGTTCTTTTAAAAATTTTAAATGACTAATTGTGGATTTAGAAGCCTAAAGTACAAGTATGTAAATATTGTGAGCTTTTATTTTTTGAAATGGGCTTTTCACCCTTACTAAATCAAAGAATCTTGGTGAGTAATGCTATCCCATTGCTATTTTAGTGCAGCAGCCATGAATCACCTCTATTACTTAACCCATCCATTCTGAAGAATGCCGGATTACCATGATTGGTACTGGCATCAGTGTACCAGCATGAGTGTCAGCCAGAATTATATAGCAGTTGGACCATGGACATCAGATTTTCAAGAGCACAGATGGACTCCTGCTGCTCAGTTCCACATAACTACTTGTGAACACTCATCACCTAACGGCTCGGTTTTGAAACTCATCTTAAACAATAAGTAGCAACTATCATATTGATGAAGTCTCCTAACTCTCTCTATCCTTACGGAAAACGTCAACATTGTGAAGGAAAAATCATAGAATCATGGAATGGTTAGGGTTGGAAGGGACCTTAAAGATCATCTAGTTCCAACCCCCCTGCCATGGGCAGGGAAAATGAAAAGCTGTCTTGGAATTTGCTATCAAATTCTGAGTAAAAATGAAAGTTTTTGTTTCAGAATTTTCCTGTGTCACCCAGTAACTCCAGTTCAGATGTCTTGTGCCCCTTCTCTCTTCTAAAGCTCAGCGTCTCTAGACTATCCTCTCCTAGCACATGCCAGACATCTTCACCGAGCCAGCACTGGTGCTCCTGTGAATGACATGCCATGAGAAATAGGACCTAGCTGAGAAAGTCTCCTAAAGTTAGAGATGGGAGATATGCAAACTACATTTCCTATTAAAGGGGTTTATGCCTTATCTGACTTCTCATTAAAGAAAAAAGAATTATTATTTAATGTAAAAATTTGCATTTTCACTTTTTTTTTTTCCCAAGTCCCTGTCAGGGCCTTGAGTGCACCAAGAGGCACTGCACTGTTCCCTCCCACTCCCATGGGTTTGGTCACCTGAGCTCAAGGCCAGCTGCAAACCTGCGTACACTGTGAAACTGGGTAACCATGGGTAAGACTGTGGCGACAGTGCTGCACAAGGAAGAGTTGGAAGAAGCCTCGTTAAGCACATCTACCATTCACCTTAAGCCTAAGCCTTAGTGTATTTAAGGCCTTGGTCCTTGCTCAAGATATATTATGGCTGTGTCTGTACGTGGTCAGGTAACTCGCTGATCTTGACTCACAGATTTGACTTCCTGGTGTGACCTTGGACCTTACATATCACTGCAGACTCACTTGGAGATCTTGAATCCTCTGGCTTGACCCTGTTTACTGTCACTGGACCTGCTCTGCTTTCTTTGTTCAGGTACTGTGAGACAGCTCCTTCGTGGGTGATGCCACTGCCCTGCCTAATTCCCGGCTCAGATCTGTTGTGAAGCGTCTCACTGTTGCTTCTCCTTAAGTGTCAAATTCAGTTGTCAATTGAAAAAAAAGAAAGAAAAGAAAATTCAAATAACTTTTCAGACAGCATTTGAGATGAAAGGTGGGTGGTTCTTTGTACCAATGTTGCTATGAATTCAGCTTAAAAAGTTTTAGAGGAGCATGGTATATTCATATGTTTAAAGATCTGTCTGAAGCTGAGACCAGCCCCTCAGTAATTACCACGGCCTTCCCAGAGCTTTGGAATTCAGTTTTATTTACTCTCTCAGTGATGCTCCAGCAGAGATACAGAGCAAAAAGTCTTTGAAGTTTACAAGAAAAACTACCTATCCTGGGTTTGAATGTTTTTTTGGTGTCGGATTCAGGATAGGTCTTATCACTGTGTCCATGAATGTATTTTTAACTCCTTCCTTATGTAAGACAAAAGGCTTGAGCCATTAGTTCTTGGCAGCAAGCTGCAGCCCAAATAACCTCCCTCTCCTGCTTCTTCACCCAAGAACTAGTGCGTTTTTAAAAGGCACCCTCCTGGAAGGCAGCAACTGACAAACTACAGAATTCCACGGTACCATTGGTGTGGTTCAAAAAAGAAAAATTTCAAGTTAAAGGCATTTCAGCAGGGGAGAAACAGTTCACCTTGCTGTATTACTTTTCACCCTGGGAACCCAAAGCTGCTGATATATTACACAAGGTGAGTTTCACTGAACTCTTGGGAACTTAACACATTCTGCACAGTGGTAAACCAACGCTTTGAGAGGTACCAGGGACTTGCCTAAGAACACACTGCTGGAAAACAATAAAAAACTCAACATATGTAGGACCTATAAACTCAAACATGGTAGTTATTCCAACAGGGGTTTTTTGTTTCCTTCTGCACAGCCAAGAGCAGGAATTAGAGTCACACATCAACCAATCTTGCCAGCATTCTTTATCATTCAGATGATGGTTACTATTTCTTTAAATAGTTCCTAATGTTTTGTTAATTTTTATAACTTTTTTTACATTGCCTCTTTGGAAGTTGAAAACCATAATACATTGAGATTAAAAAAAAAAAAAAAAATCCTTTCTCTCACCAATAAGGTCTCTGCAGGAATGTTATAATACAGTGCCACAACAGTTTTAATTGCTGTGATTTTGCAAGAGTGAAGTGTGACACAGTAGCAGAGCATGTTGCTGCTGTGGAAGGGTTTTTTCCAGGTCTCCTTGCTCTAAGAGTTTGTTTGTCCCTGCGATCTACTCCTGCTGGCAGGTATTTCAATTGCTGATTCGTAACAGGGCTCATCAAGACAACACCTCCAACATGTGACACAACATACAAGAATGATTTTGTGCAAGGTCTGTACTCACGCAGAAGTTGTCTGCATGTCGTGCCAGCTTTTGCTAAAGTTCTGCTTCAGTTCATTCATCAGACTTATACCAAGCTTTTGTTTAATTTCAACCAGGTGCTTTTCTTTGGCTGCTAGTACTTGCCGCAAAGTTGAAATTTCATCCTCTAGCTGAGAGAGACAAAAAGGGGAGAGAAAGGTGTTAGCCTGTTCCCACAGAACGATAAACACATAGAATGTTAAGAGATTAAATGAATCTCACATAAACCGCCTTTTTTTTTTCTTGTGACTAGAAAGGGAGATTGAAGTGTTGAAGATCACAAAGACATGTCCAGAACAGAGCTGACACTACATTAAATTAATGTCTCTTACTATTCCACCCATGTGCACCATCACTGACACACATCTGATCAGAGAGAATTCTCCAGTAAGGAAGCAACCACTGAATCTTGACCAAGATCTGCCTTGGGGCATTAGGAGTCTCAAACATCAGCTTTCCACTCACAGGCAAAATGGGAATGGGCAGAACAAGAGAAGACTGGATCATTCAGGCAGATACCTCTCTTTGAAGGCATGGGCTTTTAACTTCATATCTGCAGTGTTTCACAGAATCACTAAGGTTGGAAAAGACCTACAAGATCATCTAGTCCAACTATCAACCCAACACTACCATACTATGTCCTCAAGCACTACCTCTAAACGTTTCTTGAACACCTCCAGGGATGGTGACTCCACCACTTCCCTGAGCAGCCTGTTCCAATGCCTGACTGCTCTTTCAGTGAAAAAGTTTTTCCTAATATCTAATCTCATCCTCCCCTGACACAACCTGAGGCCATTTCCTCTTGTCCATTTTTAGTCTTCCACTCATGAAACATAGATGCAAATTCTTAGAAGCACGTTAAAAAAAAAAACTGCACGACAAGATAGGACTTAAGAGTGTCATTAGAAGTTACAACCTTGTCACGAGTTTTATCTATGTATTTTAGGCCCTACATATTTTTATTTTACTATTTTGAAATACACAGCAGATGGACTGTTACCATGAGTGAACAGGTCCTACCCAAAGCACAGAAGCATTCAGACGACACAGCAGATTAGTCTTTTCAGAGCTCCTAGTCATTAACCAAACTGTGTGAAGTTTTAAAGATACCATTCGGCCCAAACAGAGGGATGGGATTTTCCCTGCAGTAGACATTATTTCAAACATTTAAACCAAGCCAGTGATTAAGCAAGGCAAGGACCAGAACACTTGACTGAGACGAGAGACCACTGAATCTGCCTGCCGCTGGCTCAGGATCCTCTCCCTTGGGCAGCACTCCTGCTAGCAGGGTTTGCATTCTTCATCTGGCAGGTTCCTAAGCAAATTATACAAGCAGCACTCAGGGGTACTGAAGCTAACAAGGACAAGTGACACCAGAGCAGCTGCCTTTCACTTCAGGTTTTAAGTTGCCTTACCAACTGTGTTCCTTCCTCCATATGTTTATAGGATGACATATGGTAACGTACCTGATTACCATATGTTAAGTTCTGTGGAATCACAGTCCCCCTGTGAATTAACTCCATAGGCTGCAGGGAATGAGGCAAGCACTCGCAGAATGAGTTGCCGACCTCCAGGGCTATATTCAGTATGTCAATACCAGCATTATTTTTATTTTACACACACACATGCATTCTGCTTCCCTGTAAAACTGACTGCAAGCTCATTGTTCTTGAATGAACATTAATTCTCAACCTTGAATCCCCAGCTATCAGTTTCTCTTTTGACACTACCTGCTATCTAAACTATTCAAGCAGCTCAGGAATTAAGCAGCAAGACTATGAACACAAGACAAAATCACGACCTCGGTGAAGCAGGCACCAGTATTCACCAATGCCTGTAATGCCAACACTTCGCTGGTAGACCACATAACAAGCCAAAATTGCTTTACTGCTTCCCCACGTACTTTATGCTGTATTATATTCCTACTCTGCAAATGAAACGCTGTCAAGAGGCAGCGTGAGTTCTCCTTCTGGGAGGATAACTGGTTAAATGCTTACAGAAAGAAGAAATCATAAATGTCAGCATCCCTCAGGCAGCAGTTGAGAGCTCCCTTTAGTTGTTTCCCACCCAGAGCAAACCCTTTAGTGCACAAGGCTGCCTGAGTAACACTGCCAAAGAACTTAAACCAATACTAGTATGCTTACACGTACTTAAACATTAATGCTTTCCATATGGGCTAGCACTAGGCTGCTCATTAGGTGCCTGGATATGTAAACATTCAAGGGCTTCTATTAAAATTACTTTCCATCTGTTCTGTTGAATAGACACCTAAAGCTGTAAAGCCCTAAGCAAGCATTAACCATGTGCTCAATAGTGTAAGTATGAACAACATTTTTGACTGTATGAAAGACAATAAATTGGTTTTGTTTTGAGATGAGAGTCTGGTTTTGATTTGAAAAAATTCTCCTCAAGTTCCATTTTAAAATAATGGAAGATACAAAGACTCCCTCAAGTGCTCAGATATCAGTGACTGAAGACTGAAGTAGACAGAAAGGATTAGGGATTTACAGTGGGATCTTGAAAAGCATTTAAGCAGGTTACATACCTAACTCCCACGAAAGTCAGGCATCACCTGCTTAAGCATTTTGGAAAAGTCCACTGTTACAAACGCAGACTCCACTGAGAAACTTAAGGTTTAAGTCAACAGGAATACAAGCTTCTAGTTCTCACGTTTCCCTTTTTTCTAAATGCAACAGAGTCAGAAGAATAGAGATGCTTCAAAGAGGGACAAAGATCCTGTGCTGGTTTTAGTTGGGACAGAGTTAATTTTCTTCACAGTAACTGTATGAGGTTATGTTTTGGATCTGTGCTGAGCAGAGTATTGATAACACTGGTGTTTTTAGTTGTTGCTGAGGAGGGTCTGTACCATTTAAGGCCTTTTTCGGTTTCTGGTGCTGTGCCTGTGTTCCCAGCTTTTCACTACAAGAAGCTGGGAGGGGACACGGTCGGGACGGCTGGGCCAGACTGGCCAAGGGAGTATTTCAGTCCCTAAAACGACACGCTCAGTCTATGAGGTGGGAGGTTGGGCCAGGGGTGGGTGCTCTGACTCAATCAGCATTTGAGCAGTTTTATCATTTGTTGTCTTTTCCGTTTTTTTCACTGTAAGTTATTAGTACTGTTAGTATTGTCGGTATCATTATTTTATTTCATTTACTTTCAATTATTAAATTGTTCTTATCTCAACCCACGAGTTACCTTGTCTTTTCCCCGATTCTCCTCCTCCACTGCGGGAGGGGAGAGGTGAGCAAGTGGCTGTGTGGTACTTAGTTCATGGCTGGGATTAAACCACAGCAGTTCCCTTCTCCCTTTTCGTGGGCTTAGAAATCAGAGTTAATAACTATTTTTTCTTCATTATTGTGTCGGACGTTTGCAAAAGCAAGGAGAGGAGCTGACCACCTAAGGCATGATGATTCCCATGATTACCTGACATGACTAAAATGGACATCACACAAAGGTGAGGCCCCATGAAAAAAATCCACAACTACTGACAGACCTCTCTGAAGACTAGGACTGTTCGATAATATGGAAGAAGGACACTGAGGTCCAGGTAAGTCCAGCACACAAACACAAAGAAGTATTTTCCCTTATTTTGCCTTTTTTATTATTTTAGGGCAAACTGTATGTTTTAGAGGGTTGAACATCCTTTTAAGGTTGATGATCTCTAAGGTCTTTTCCAACCTAGTGATTCTATGATTCTATGATTACCTGACATGACTAAAATGGACATCACACAAAGGTGAGGCCCCATGAAAAAAATCCACAACTACTGACAGACCTCTCTGAAGACTAGGACTGTTCGATAATATGGAAGAAGGACACTGAGGTCCAGGTAAGTCCAGCACACAAACACAAAGAAGTATTTTCCCTTATTTTGCCTTTTTTATTATTTTAGGGCAAACTGTATGTTTTAGAGGGTTGAACATCCTTTTAAGGTTGTGGCATGCCTGAAAACAACACGCCAGTAATTCTCCCACATATAAGCTTTCCCATTTTTTTCCAGTAGACACAAAACTTCTAAAAAAACAAATCAGAAAGTACTTATAGAATCACAGAATCATTTGGGTTGGAAGGGACCTTAAAGCCCATCTAGTTCCAAGCCCCCTGCCATGGGCAGGGACACCTTCCACTAGACCAGGTTGCTCAAAGCCTCATCCAGCCTGGCCTTGAACACTTCCAGGGATGGGGCATCCACAGCTTCTCTGGGCAACCTGTTCCAGTGCTTCACTACCCTCTCTGGGAAGAACTTCTTCCTGATATCTAATCTAAAACCTCCCCACTTTCAATTTAAACCCATAAATTTTATTCAGTAAAACACAACATTTTGGATAAACTACTATTCATAAATAGTTATGTCAGTTGGTATTATCCATATTCTGAGATACACACAGTACTATGTAAAATGTGGAGGTGGAAAGACTCAGCTATTGGCTGGAATAATACTGATGAATGGGTTGAATGGTAAGCTGAATAGTAAATTGAGTTATTTATTAGGCGTGTTTTAAGGATCAAGGCAGTAAGTAATTTAAATATTAAGAGGCTACAACTTAAAACAGAAGCTAGCATAGTAAAATGTGTACTTCCAACTTAGATTAAGCATTTTTTTTCCCCTGCCACTAAACAACCCAAATGCGTAGTTCCCTGGCCTGGCTGTTTGCACAGCCCTTCTCACCATGGGGAGCTGAACCAGATAACAGCCATCACAGAAAAAACAAGAGCTATTTTTAAGCAAAATCAGTTCTTAGATCCAGTGCAGACAAAGTGCAAGTACATGTCTGGGCACAGCACAAGAGGCAAGAACAAGTGGCTGGAGATGGAGAAGAGAGGAAGGCAGAAATCAATTAAAGCAGCACAAGCAGTACACCCACTGGGGTCATGGTCTGTGATATGTACTACAGGCATACATCCCTACTGAAGGAAGGCATACACGGCTGTTTAGGAGTGAGAACTACCTGCAGGACAGGCTGAGAGAATTGGGCTTGTTCAGCCTGGAAAAGGGAAGGCTCCAGGGAGACCTTATAGCAGAAGGGGCTACAAGGAAGCTGGGGGGAGCACTTTTTACAAGGGCCTGTAGTGACAGGACAAGGGGTAATGGGTTTTAATTGAAAGTGGGTAAGTTTAGATTAGGTATCAGGAAGAAGTTTTTCATGGAGAGGGTAGTGAAGCACTGGAACAGGTTGCCCAGATGGATGCCCTATCCCTGGAGTGTTCAAGGTCAGGCTGGATGGGGCTTTAAGCAACCTGATCTAGTGGGAGGGGGTCTTGCCCATGGGGCAGGGGTTGGAACTAGATGGTCTTTAAGGTCCCTGCCAACCCAAGCTGTTCTGTGATTCTAAGAAAAAATAAAGCAATTAACACAACCAACATCAGAAGGGTAACAATATGCTGAGAAAATTTTAGACGGAACAGGCAACTATTGCAAAGCCAGCAAAGAAATGGGGGCCATGGTCCCCTGACAGAGGGGGTCTTGGAGTCAGTGCTGTCCCAAGGAACTCCCACAGGCCCCTGTGAGCTGGTACTCTCTGGCTGCACCACCACAATTCACCCCTGCACAGTGGCATCACTCACTAGCGCACAGCTCAGCACCTCAGCTCAGACAGGAGGCATGCAGGTGAAAATAGCAGGGGCAGAAAGTCTGAGAGAGCACTGCCACAAAACCTCACATCGTGGAACTACAGCTTGGAAATACCCTGGATGCTGAGGCCAGGCTCACACACTTCCCCACCACAGGGACCACCACGGCAGCCAGAATGCAGCGTGCATCTGCCTGCCTGTGTTAGAACTGAACATCTCTGCAAAGCCATAGCTTGTAAGAAAAGCTGGAAAACATGTGACAGACAAAAATATAATAGGGAAGGACCAGCTATATCGCTGGATAGCAAGCAACTATAAGGGACACTTGATCACAGAAAGAAGCTCACTTTGTGAGGAAGAAAATCACCTTTTACTTCACTTCATTTGCTTTCAAAATAAAAAAAACACCTAACCCCCACAAGACTGCATCTTCTCTATACCGTTCTTTCACATAATCCTTTCTATGTCAGAAGACACAAAGTTACAGCAAACATACAGAAAAAGTCTCTCAATGAAGCCAATCTATAGAACTCTTAAATTTTGATTACCTATTGTATTTAGTGAACTAGTGATTGTTACTGAATTGTTACCCTTTCTCAAAATTGCTGAGTATTGGAACATGCATATTAAAATGCATAAACTATTTGTAAGAAAATGTAAGCACCTTACAACTACTTTCTTTAAAAGGCTGCCATAGTAACTGTGAACACCATAACACAGCACAAGAAAATAACAGGCACTTCACCTCTGCACCAAGTCATGTAGCTCAAATTTGACACCATCAGGCAGAGTACCTGTTGATTTATAAGTTTTTTTGTGGGGGAGCAGTACCCAGAGATATCAGGGACACTCAAATAAAATTAGCCAGAAGTTTGCAGAAAAATCCTTCCTCCAACTGGGAATAAACGTGCAGTAACACTCACAGCTGAACTCAGGACCTGTGCATCAGCTAGGAAGCTTGTAGGTCACACCAGAAAGCTGCTTTTGAGAAGGTATGGGAGGGGAGGACAGCAAGGAGTAAATGACTGCTTTGATGAGGGTAATGGAAGGATAACAGACAACAGTGAGCAAAATAGCTCAAAACCTCAGCCCCCGTCATGACTCAGGAGCCACTGCACCATGCTCCTCACACCAAGGGAGGAAGGGAACAGAAAAAAAAGTAAACCTGTTCTTCTAACAAGCTTCTGGCCTTATGTAAAAGATTTTGGGCTACAATTTTCTGCTATTACTCTGAAGTGTCAGGCTGACCTCTGCTAATTCACATGACTGCCAGAAGTTCCTGTAAGCATCAGTTATTTTATTTGCACTGTAGACATTCTAAGGCTCAATTGCACTCAGAGCCCCGCTGTGTTAGCCAGACTACAAGAACAGAGTTAGTCCACACTCAGAAAATCTACCAGTCAGTAGAGAGCCTACTAGCAGGGAATAGGCAAAGTGTACACAGGAAACCTGTCAGGAAAACAGCAGCACCAGCTTCCCTCCTAATGGCAGGGAGGGAAGGAGGAAGAAGACAAAGAACATACACAGCAGGCACACAACGCAGAGATGGAACGTATTTTTCTGTTTAAATATATGCACAACAGGTGCTCACAACAGCTCCCCATCAGATCAACTCTTAAGTGACTGCAGCATTAAGGAAGATTTGAACCTTTTGGAACAATCAGAAGAAAGGTGCTTGTTCCTACAGGCTCAGACAGACTCAAACAGTTATTACCTGTGTTTACGTAAGGAGATGGAAGAAAACAAAGCTACCACCGGTGGAGCAGAGGGGGCTTGAAAGTCAAGAATAACAGGTTTTCAAAAGGAAACATTAGCCAATTCCCACAGAGGTTTCTTTCTGAAGGAGTCACGGTCTTACACTTTTTTTACAGTCTTTTCTAAGAATGATAAGCCTCATTTATGTTTTGACTTGGTCACTCTCAATTCAAGTTTTCAAAACCCTTCTTAGCATAATTATCAGTTTTATTTTGGTTTTAAGCATAAACTGTGTGCTAGTAAACTGCTGCGAGCAATTCAGAAAATAATTTCTAGGTCAGCCAAGATCATAAATTTGAAAGGCAATTTCTCACTTGTGTGTTGGTACATGAATTAAAGCATTTCTACCATGAGCCACTGAGAACTCCCTGCTCCCACAGTAATCAGCAAGCAGGAAGGATGCCCAGAAACTCTTGAGATTAATTCTCTTGAGAGAGGCATATCATTCTCAGATGGTTGCAGGAAGTTCTTTTTTCTTCTTTGTTTCCATCTGTCTCTTAAGTCCCTTCCACCAGGAAAGGGAATCACAGAATGGCTGTGGTCAGAAGGGACCTCTGAGGGTTATCTGGTCCGACTCCGCTGTCCAAGCAGGGCCACCTAGAGCCAGTTGCTCAGGACCGTGCCCAGATGGCTTCTGAATATCTCCAGGGGTGGAGACTCCACAATCTCTCTCGGCAACCTGCACCGGTGCTTGGTTACCCTCACGGTAAAAATGCGCTTCCGGATATTCAGAGGGAATCTCCTGTGGTTCAAGTCTGTGCCCACTGCTTTGGTCCTGATGAAAAGCCAATAACGAACATCCCAACTCCAATCTCATTGCTATGGGATGAACCCATAGCAATGTAAAGTTTCCATTTCCGTCTTATTATTTACAAATGTGACTGAATTAGCAAAAAAAGTAAACATTAACTAGCAGCTTGGAAACACAAGGCTTGATAAAACATTCAGAGGAAAAAAAAAAATCTTTTGGGTTTTGTTTCACTAGGAAATCCTAAATCAGCACTGAAGGTAGATGACTTGACAGTCATTAAGAATGTGACTTCTTAGAGTATTTAACATTACTACTTAATATGAATTTAAGTATTTCTGTTGTATGAAAGACAGGAATCAATCTGCGAAATAACGATCCTCTGGATGCGCCCATTCTGGGTGTGGGTGCAACCAGAGGCATATAGCAGCAAATGCTTCACAGAGCACTACAGGAAGATTACAAAGGAATGCTTTTTCCCTAGCCAGTTTACACTTTGCAGGTATATGCTCACAGTCCCAAATTTTGAGTTTCCTACTATCCAAACGGGTTGTTTTATTCTTGCTATGTGAAGTTTCCAACCCACTGTCTTAAAAATTCATTACTTCAATTCAGAGAAAAACAAATCCTCCCCCCTTCATACAGCTGTGGTTTCTGTCACTTGTCTCATATTTAAAATAAGTAAACCTTCACTTTTTCCCATTCTCTCATTTTGGAATTCACTTCTGTTTCTGCAGTATTCAGCAGCAGTAATTAAAACTTAATCCACTCTACCACTGTAGACTGAATCTAAACAATCTCTTTAATTTTTGTAATAAAAAGACCACATGGTTCACACCTTTTTCCTCCCGTCTCCTTATGTATTATTTTTCTTGGTGTCATGACATCTCTTCATGGTGTCATGACATCTCCTGAAGTTCTTTAGTTAAGCAAACAACAAATGCAAACCAAAAATATAACCCTCTCCAAACACAGCAGTGCCAAAGGAAACAATAATGTGCTGAAATTACTGTGCTCATCATCATCAGTCTCTTCTGTAACCATCAGCAGCAGCTCTTCCTCTGAGCACCACAGAAAAATCTTTTCCATCAAGTGTCACAAACACTGTAACAACAATACCATAGCTCTAAGAAGAACACCTTTCATTCTTTAGAAAGCAAGGTTTATAAACAAAGACACGTCTTGACTAAAATGGTAAAGTATATTTAACATTCTCTCTACAATCACCAAGAAGATGATACTTAATCTTCAAAAAATATCTAAGGAAATTAATGACTTAATATTGTTTTAGCCTAGATTAATGTTACTAAAAAGGAAAACCATACCTTTATGATGTGTGCATCATCCTATAATATCTTCCAGTTCAAGGAAGTAGAAGTAACACTCACAGAAACGCAAATTCATTACCTTAGCTAGCTCAATCTTTAACTCTTCTTTTTCTTCTTCAGAAATCATACTGGTGAAATCAACATCAGTGACCACATCTTCATCTGCTTCATGCAAAGACTGGGTTTCCAACAGGCCTTAAAGTAAAAAGGTCAAGACAACCATTATCAATTATTTCAGCTATGATACTGACCTCTCTCTCCTAAAATATAATCATGATGTAATATTCACCCACTAGGAAAAACCAAACAAACAAGCAAAGAAAAATAAAACAGCCTTTTCCTGCTAAAGGTCATTTGGATTCTGCTACTCACTGCTTCAGAAAAGCTCCTTGAAGTATCAGATGATAATGTCTGCACAGAAGCAATTTAATACGTGAAAGCACTGCTCATTCCCAGAAAGCAATCACCTTGTACCCCAGTAGTCCCTGACATGGCATTTCCTGGCTTCTAGCAATTCAGAAGGGAAAAAGGAAAAAAAAAAAAAAGAAAAGAAAAGGCAAGCTTTTTCTTCAAAAGAAGAAAGCTGGTTAATGTGGATCACTGATGTGAATAGTGGCAATACAGAAGTATATTACTGACCCAATTTATGTTTTAAGTAGCTGTGATTGCAGTGATTTGAGAACCTCACAGATGTACACAGTTTGCAGAGGCAAATGCCATACCTACTACTGTTTGATTTTCTAAATGTTAGAGGAGCACATCTTGATCCTTCAGTCTAAACCTGTGAAGGGTGAACAATCATAATGGACCTCCACTTACTTTCTTCTGCGTGTCCAAGACCAGGATCAGTACGTATGATAACCAAGACAAGCACACACATCAACGTTGGCAAGATCTAGGCCTGCCTGGTATAATATATACAGAGGAAACAAAATACACCCCCATCATTCAGTAAAGGCAAGAATGATTACTGAGGTTCCAGCCATTAATAGCCTCTCATTCTTTATGGTCTGCAAACCAAGCAATGCAAAACATGAGATAACAGAAAACATTCTCGCTCCTTTGGAAATTGTTTTAAAGTTCTCAGTTTGTTTCTGTTGTGGAAGAAAACTCTCCTCCAGGCTACACCTGGGACAGCACTTTTCCCTGTATTTCAGTTCTTTACCAGGGTAATTGGCCACCTCAGCTGACTCCCAACATCAGTATACTGCTTCATACAGAAGAGAGCAATTTCTTTGCAGGTCCACAGAGGCCTGTATACTCTATTACATAGAGATTAGTATTTAACTTTGCAAAGTTCCATCAGCAGGGAATAGAGGTTACAAGCACCAAGTCTGGAGTATGCAACAACTTGAAATCAAATACTTTATATTTTCACGCAGAAAGCAAAACTCCCTCCAGCTTTTTGTCATTTCTTCCACTTAAGAGTCTCCCCGTGTACCTGGATTTCCTCTTTTTTAACTGAACAGAACTGATTTGATTCGTACCATCAACTCCACTGCAGAGCGCAGTGTGGTTAATTACAACCTCCCCTGCCTGGGAAGGCAAAGAGCAGCAACACAGGTGCTGAACCCCTGCCTGGCACCATACACCAGAATAGAGCACCACCCTTATGCACAAAAGCTTTTAAAAAACATGGAAGCATATAGAAGTAGTTGATACCTTAGCTATTACCCAAAAAGCATCTTGCCAGGAAAACCTAGACTGCCAAAGTCACAACAAAAGAAAAGCACATTTATTCAGTAGGACTACTCCTAAATCACATTTATTAACATCCCTCCATGTCTAAACACAATTGTTGTTTGTTTTTTGTTTGAGGATGAATAGCGTTGTTATGGGAATGAGGCTAAACTTAATCCCCATGGTCTTGAAAGCAGTCTTTTTTTTTTTTTCATGGATGGAGGAGCAGCAGTACAGGGCTCTTGGAAATGCTGGGAAGAATGCCAGGGGCAATAGGGTTAAAGCTAAAAACCCTTAATGAAAGTCTTGAGGTAGATGCTCCAAGACCACCTCATCTCACAACTGATACGTGAGCTAAAAAGAAGGCATGTGCTCATGGGGAGCATTAGTTTGGAATTGGCTAGGTAAAGAGGCCAGAATTGCTGAACGATGGTTAGATAGAGACAGAAGCCAACATGGGCCAAAATAACAAAAGATGATTGAGTAATGCTTAACTAGACCCAATGGTCAAGTTCAAACTTCAAGACTGAACTGAAATTACAATCCCTCCCAAAACAGCACATGCACGTCAGTCTTCCGCATGATCCTCTCCAACCTCTCCAGTGCTAGCCCCAATTCTTATCTCTTGCTTCTCATCTAAGTCCTCTAAAATCTAGTCTGATCCTTCACTCTCTGCTTTATCACTGCAGCCACTACCAGAGTCCTCCCTAATGGTCACTGTCCCTCTGCAAAAGCTTCGCTACAGTCACCTCACAGTTCTGCTCTGAACATCCCTCCACCATACCATGAGCCACAGCCTTCTTTCAGCCAGTCTCAGTTCTGAAACTTCCTCACATGAGCACGAGCAACCTACTCTCTCACTCTTCCCTTGCTGGTCAGTCTGCCCGTCATGGTCCAGCCACACCTAGTAGCTCTCAGTCCTGGCATTCACCATCTGCTGCTATTACACACTGCTGAAGGCAGCTTCACCGGTATCCGTTCACCACTTGTGACCGACCACTTCGGTCCTGGGCCAGGTCTGTCAGCAGAGGCAGGAGGCTTCAGTTCTGGTGCTAGGTCATCTGAACTTCTCGGACTCTTTACCCCACCTGAGCAACAGAAGCTCATTTCTTGAATCTGCCTCTTCACCGGTGTCTGAGGCTAGCCCCACCGACCATTTCTCCAATTTTCCTGTCTTAGGCTTCAGCTTCGGAAAGCGAGGAATAAAAAACTAAACACGTTAGGAAGAAAACAGTCTTTATGAGGCAGGAGAAATGTGAATTCTTTCAATCTATTGAGAATGTAAATATAAAACTCTGTCCCTGTGATTTGTATCCTAGAGAACTTAGCATCCACAGTTTCAAGCAACTGCAGAGCAAAGTGTGCAGGCAAGGTTCCCAAGACTTTGTTGTTCTAAGTCTTTTTTTTTAACTTATGTGCCTGTCCCTATTTCCCCCCTAATAACCATAGTCCTGTATTAGATTTCAAACATAATTAGAGGTCTCTTAAAACAGGTTTAATGAAAACAGTCAGTTGGTACAGAAGATTTAAAGTGATTTCAAACAGAGAAACCAAATAGGGAAGAAAGATCTTTCATAAAATCTATTTTACAACAGGAAAAAAAATGTCCAAGTTCATACTTCTGAGCACCACGGCATCCATTCCACCAAAGCACACCTTCTGTGAGGTTCCTACAGCACCTTACCCCAGGAGGAACTATAGCATTAACTTCATACAGGGAAATCAGACAACCACAAGGCACAAGACCATAAGAAATTAGGCAATTGACATTTTCCTACTCATAAGACAACATTTTAGTCCTCCAGTCTCCAGGAAGAACAGGAACCTGAAGCAAATGCCACATCAGTATGTAAAAGAATTATTAGTTATTTTGGTAGTAGAAGAGCTACTATTGCTAGTACCGCTGACTCCAAAATATTCTCCCACCTTCTGCTCTGTGCAGGAAGCACAGCCTTCCTTGTAGGGTCCTCTCAACTGGGCAGCCTGGGAAACACCCCTTTCAGACACTGGTTGTAGACCCAGCAAGTACAGAAGCCTAACAGAATACAAGAGCTCAGTGGGATTGCTGATAGGCCTTGAATTAACCACATGAGCTGAGAATCAAGGAACAAGGTAGAATCCCATTTAGAATGTTTAAGCTAGCTACACATTTTGTTAAACACACTTAATGTAACAATTCATGAAAAAACACACAAGGATGAGTTGATTCAGCTAAATGGTTAGAGCTGAGTCTTAGAAAAGTATTTTTCTACCCTACATAGAAGAATGGCAGATTTAGACATCTAAGAGCCAGAATTTCAATATAACATTGCATTTTTATGGTTCACTGTGTATATTCAATTCCAACAATTATATACTTCACCCAGGAAAAAAGAAATCTGCACTTCAGCAATACAGACATTCATCTGTGTGCATGTACATTCAGTTTACACATAAAACAGCATGTAACACAGCCCTTCTTGTTAGTTAGTTCTTCCTTTGGGGGTAGAAGGAACTTTACTCGTTTACAGTTCACCTGGAATTAAATATATCTACGCAGTATATAACTATATAGATAACTAAATGTCCACACGTAGTTATAATATACTTGAGTCATATAAATAATCTGTAACTTCCCACAGGAGCTATAAAATACAGAATGGCATTTTGATCAGATGTCCAAGACAAATCCTCCCTGCAGCACTGGAATATGATAGCTTTTACAGTGCACCTTGATTTCCATTTGCTGATCTCTAGGCAAAATCCATCTTCTTCTTTAAATTTAGGTTATCTTAAATAACAGTATTCAAATGATCATTAGCTGCTTATTAAACTAAGCTTGTTGGGAAGCTGCGAAACTCGTCAGGTAACATTTCAAGGCTCTGTTTTCCCAACAGCTTACTGGAAGTATGGGGAAGCTGTAAAATTATTCTAAGTCATTCTTTCTCCTAATTTACAGGACTAGGGAAAATATTTATTACTTACTGACTCACAGATAAGGCTCCTTCTGACAAATTATAAGGAGCATTAAAATTTCAAAGTGAAACATTTCTCAATGGCTAAATTAGTTTTCCATATAAAGTGACAAATACATGCCTGGTCAGAATCATTACTGCCAAATTACCAACCAGTTTTATGTGCAGGGAACTAAAGCAGTTCTACCTGCACGCTCATAAAAATAAAGGCACTAAAGGAACCCACACTGCTGGGGTTCCTACCGCTGACTATTAAATTTAAGTGACTTCACTGCACTGAGGCTCACAGTAGTTCTAGAACTGCAAGATACCTGACACTCCCCACACCAACAGATAAGGATGCTTTAATCCTGTTAAACAAAAGTCAAGTTCTGCATAGTCAACAGCATCGCTAAAGCAGCAACAATAAGCAGAGGGGTTACAGTTAAGACACTATTCTACTTGAAAAGAAGCCCAAATACAGGTCAGCATCCACCAGCTCAAACTCAGAGTGCAGTTGTGTCAGCACAGACTTGTTCCCTGCTAGCCAGGCATGCCAAGTTAAATAGCTTATCAG